TGCACAGATGAATGGAAAGATTAAATCAGAGTAGAGTAGCAGCTCTATTATTCTGAAGCCAGCTTCTTCAAACCCTCTGGCTTCCTAAAAAAGCTTATAGCTAGAAGAAACTGGAAAAAAACAATTTTGCTAGCAGATAAGCAACAAGCAGCATTGCAGACACAAACACACGTAGCCAAACAGAGCTTCAGGTTAGGTTTGATATGCTAGGATTGGTTACTTCACTTTGAGCAAAAGATGGAAGTGTGGAAGGCAAGAAACCTCTCCCACCCCTGAAAAAAAGGAAAGAGAAAGGCAGAAGAAATAGCAATAGTCATTCTAAATAGGTAGAAGCGATCCAGCAAAAAGAAACCAAAGATAGGACACAGATGGGAGTGGGGAGTGGAGGAGCTAGCTACCAGAGGAGAGCTAGCTACTAGAGGAGAACTTCATCAGTGCTTATTTTACGGGCACGTGGGAGATGTCATCTCCTCCTCATCTATTCTGTTGGTAAATAATTGTAGAGCCCATGCTAAAGTTACTTCATTGATTGAGCTTATGAACATGATTGTTCAGTATAGGAAATGATGCTATAGAAGAGGTTTCATGAAGAAGTTGACCCATCATGCAGATACTATATGGAGCTTTACTATATTTGGCTTTTAAATAGCCAAAGTCACATAATACAATATTTGATCCTGGTGCCTGAAGTTTTATTTTTAAATCAGTGTTAATGAGAACTTAAGAAAATGGTATATTTGGGTCATGTTTACAGAAGTATGAAACCAATGACTTTGGAGTAAGTGCTCTGCTAAACTTTAACCCACTCTAGAGATAGTCAGAGATACTCTTCCAACAGCCTTAGTTCGGATAGATGTACTGAGATTAGTGCAAACTGTCAGGGTGGTGTTCTCTTCTGATCCATTTTGTTAATAGTAGCAGAAATATTTTGAGTAGAGTGGACTGCTGTGTTTCAGGAGAGGAGGAATGTTTCCTGGGAAGGTTTTGTTTTCAATCTTTGAATTACTAATTGATGTTTTACAGAGACAGCCACATTATACTGCCCAGAGAAATAATCTCTGATTAACTGCTTATTATCCCTCTAGATTTTGTTATTTGGAAATAATACCCACTTAGTTCTCAGTCTTACCAACTTCATCTATGTTGAAGCTAAAATAGATCCTAACAAATTAAAAGTTACAATTCCTGTAGTTGAATGCTCGTCTTTGTTATCCAGAAAGCAAAAATAGCCAAAGTATTTTACTTTATTTTATAATGAAAATAATATAATCATGTATTATTTTGATCATTTCTTAATGCATAATTTCTCAACTCATTTGCATAATTTTAAAGTCAATTGGAGAAACTTTACTTAGCACATTTTAATTCTCTTTAGTCCTTGTTCCTTTCTTTACATGCCCTTTGCCCAATTCGGCCATTACCACGTTCATAATTCACCTCTTTCTAACTTCTGTGGCCACTACCATGTCTAGACCCTAAATCCTAGTAAGTGTGGCCTCACTTCTTACCAATTTTTTACTCATGTAACTGCCAGAAAAATTGGTCTCATTTTTTATATTCCACTGCTTAGAATTCTATAATTTT